TGAACATCTCTCTCTCCCCCTGCCCCCTCCCTTCAGAAGATAGGAGAGTTGGATAAAAATATTAAGGACTTGGAAAAACCCTTCTGTATTTCCTTAAGCTCAAGTTTGTGTTAGGTGTTTAAACACCTAAAACAAGCCTTAAATATTATTCTTGCTTTGTGATCTCTAACTTGCTCTTTTGATCACAAGCATTACCTTCTAGAACGTGCTACCCTTGCTGCCTGAACGCTTCCCATACATAAAGCAATGCTGGGAATCAGTTAATGCTTTCTATACTTAAAGTGCAACTGGGCTGTTTCCTCAGGCTGTGAGATCTACTCTGATTCTGGAAACCACGCCTCCATGATCCAGGGGATCCGAAACAGCAGGGTGCCAAAACACATATTTCGCCATAACGATGTCAACCACCTTCGAGAGCTATTGAAGAAGTCTGATCCATCTACCCCTAAAATTGTTGCATTTGAAACAGTTCACTCAATGGATGGTAAGCTGACATCAAGCCCTTTTCTCACCTGCCAGTGCAGTTAGTGCTCAAATCATCTGTATTTTAAGTGTAAAAGTGTACAGTGCTGTAAGGGTTTACATGAAAATAGCCTTCTGAAATGCCTGGTGCTTGGGGGTACTTCTGATATTTATCCAAATTGAGTACAGGGAATCCTAAACTGCCAGTTGCTGCTTTGGTTCCCAGGTGCAGTCTGTCCTCTGGAAGAGCTGTGTGATGTGGCCCACGAGCACGGGGCAATCACTTTTGTGGATGAAGTGCATGCCGTGGGGCTGTATGGAGCTCGAGGTGGTGGTATAGGAGACCGGGATGGAGTCATGCACAAGATGGACATCATCTCTGGAACGCTTGGTATGCACGGGCTGGCACTTCTACAGAAGCTAAGGCAGCAAAGCTTCTGAGCAGCCAAATTAAGTGGGTTAACTCAAAATCAGTCTATTCAAATGAACTTGGTAAGGGCTGTTGGGGGCTAGGATTTTTCAAAAAACCCAAAGAATTTAAGTATGCCCCACAGTTTGAAAAGCCCATGTTAAGCTACTTACACTGCCTTACAAGTCAGTTAAGGTAGCATTTTTTTTCTTTAAACAAGCTAGCAAAAAGTCCTCCAGTGGCATATTACACAACTCGAAGAATAAATTCAGGTGAGAATGCTAGTAGGGTAGTACTCTATATTTAGTAGTACTTAGTTCTTTTATGTGAAATGGAGTGCTCCTAATCTAGAAACCTGAGATGGGGAGTTATGTAAAGAGATTTGGCAAGAACTGAAGCAACTGCTATTATCCCAGTAGAATGCAAGCCTAGGAGTAAGTCTACTGCTGCAAATTGCAAAGTTGTTTAAACAGCTTCCAAAATGTAAATAAAATTTACCAGGAAAGTTCATGGCTTTGAAACTTACAGTCTTGGGTTACAGCCTGGTAAAAACAGAAGTATTCACCAGACACCCTAGTTCTACCTGTGGCTCTGCCCTGGTACCTGAACATCCCCCTTGTTTGGCAAGGGAGACTGATGTCAACCGCACAATCACAACAACCATCTTATGTGCTCCTTAGGAGCGTAGGCTATTTCTAGCATCTCTGGAGCAGATTATTTTAAATCTGCTGAGAGACTTAGTGTTGATCACTTGGGGTCAGTATTGAAGTCTATGCTTGATAATTGGGCTTAAGATCTCTCCCAAAATCAAAACTTGAGTGTTTGAGAGAGTCTTGAACTGTCCTTGCTGAGAAATAACTAGATCCATGTTACCAGGATTGGCTTAAAACCAAATCTGTAACATGTGCTGAGTAAGTACAAGATTAGCGGGGGGCTAGAATTGCTGCCTGCCATGACTACATTAAGTACATAATCAAAATAACTCGTTCCTTCAAGTGAAAATAAAGAAAGTCTATAATAAATGCAAGCTGTTCTAATGGGTGGAAGAAATAAGCTTGGTTACCTTTTTCTTTTTTTCTCTCTCCCCCTCCCTCCCACCTCAGGCAAAGCATTTGGTTGCGTAGGAGGATACATCTCCAGTACAAGTTCTCTGATAGACACTGTTCGTTCGTACGCTGCTGGCTTTATTTTCACAACGTCCCTGCCACCCATGCTCTTAGCTGGTGCCCTAGAATCCATCCGAACTCTAAAGAGCGCGGAGGGACAAGTTCTGAGGCGCCAGCACCAACGCAATGTGAAGCTTATGAGACAGATGCTGATGGATGCAGGGCTTCCTGTGGTGCACTGCCCCAGCCACATCATTCCAATAAGGGTGAGTACTTAGGATACTGTTGACACAGGACTGTGGTGCCCATGTTCCTGTCTACAGTCACATTGGACTTTTGGATATTAGTTAACATTCACAAAGTTCAAACCTGTCCTAGCGTTCAGCAGTGATGTGTGAGAAGTCTGGCTTAAGTTCACCTCAGCCTGCTATAAATGTTATAAAGTGGAATGGTTTACAATCTAAACCCGCAATCTAACAGCATACAGAAAGCAAGGAGACTGCTAACAAGCTAGTAAAAAGAAGAGTTCAGGTAAAAGCAGCTACCCACCTAAGCTGCAATGCTGTGCTTGTGCCCAGAGGACTCTACAGTGCAAGCTTTTAGCTCTTTCTTCTGATGTATATGCTATTTATAGCAGCACAAGGAAGACTTAACTAGTCCCATTTGATTCTTGTGGCTAGCTAAGCTGGGCTGACAGTTCTGCCACCTTGCATGTTTTGGTTGGTCTTGTAACTTACAATTTTGAACTTTAGGTTGCAGATGCTGCTAAAAATACAGATATCTGTGACAAGCTGATGAGCCAGCACAGCATCTATGTCCAAGCAATCAACTACCCCACGGTTCCCCATGGAGAAGAGCTGCTACGTATTGCCCCTACGCCTCACCACACCCCTCAGATGATGAGCTATTTTCTTGGTGAGTGGAGACTTGCATCAGTACAATGAGAACACCGGGCTGTCTATGCAGTCTTTATACTGAAGATGAGACTAGGAAATATTAAGGTTTAGATGTCAGTAGCTGGGCAGTGTCTTTCCACTGCTGTAGCGCATGCAGTGCATATGCCTGCACTTAACCTGCTTTGAGTGTGATGTGTGAAGGCCTGGCATAGCGTGTGGGGCCAGCACAGTCCTGTACCCAGCCAGTTCTGTCCCAGCCACCTCTGCTGGGCCCTGCTCACACATTGTCTCAGCCAATCTTTGCTTGTTATGTGGGGTCCAAGGAAATCTGCTCTCCTGAGCTGAGCTGTTAACCTGTCTTAAACATGGATCTGTCCAGGGAAAGTAGCTACTTCTTGATCCTGTCAGCAGAGGTAGTATGAGGATAGCCAAGACTTAGCTGCAGCCCAGTCACCTCACTCGAGGTAAATTATGTCACAGTGAATGCCCATTATCCCCCCTCGTTTGCTAGGAGAATAAGCATGCTGACACTTCAGTCTTCCTGCTGCTCTAAAGCAATCCACTGATCTTGATGCACTCTTCTGTCCTACCAGAAAAACTGCTGGCAACATGGAAGGATGTTGGTCTGGAGCTGAAACCACATTCATCAGCTGAATGCAACTTCTGCAGAAGACCCCTACATTTTGAAGCGATGAGTGAACGGGAAAGATCCTACTTCAGTGGCATGAGCAGACTAGTATCTGTCAGTGCATGAAAGTAATGGTGTTAGTTGTGTTCTTGTCTAGTTCTAGTACCCAGTCAGTAGCATTTTTAAATTCCTTAATAAGTATTTTAATCATAGTTGAAGCACTAAGCTCTGAAAATAAATTTCTAGAGCCATTATGTCCAGTTGTGGTTTTGTTTGCTTCTCTATTTATCTTCTGTAAGTGGTGGGGAGGGCATCTGGTGGAATAAAGTCAGTGGTCTACAGTTTAATGCCCTTCAGCTGAACGACTGCCTTTTCAATGAGCATATGCTGAAAGAAATGTAGTAGACCAGGAAACACTACTACAAGGGATGAGTTTATTTCTTAGGAAAAGAGAAAATTGGTATTTATAGTTCCTCATGAGCTTTGTCTACCTGAAAGGTTTTGAAAACATGCACACTAAAGCAAGAGTATACTACCTAAGAAATGCTGTATAAGCTTACACCCATTTTTTTTTGGAGGCAGGCATTTAGAATGGGTTCTGGTAGATGCTGTCTCCCTCTGCTGCCCTGCTCTTCCTTTGTAGTTTTGCGCACAAGCATTCCCTTTTCAGTGTGGTGCTCACTATTAAGAAAAAAGTTCTAATGGGGTTCACTAAGTGGTATTTTGTGACTGCTTGGCAGTTAGAAAACCAAGGGGGCTGGGGAAGGAGGGCGCGTTTACCACTGCGTAGGTGGTAGGTGCGAGTTGCCTCTGGCTGCCTATGTCTCTTCAAGCCTGCACAGTCTGCTCGCCAGTGCAGAGTTAGACTAAAACCAGTAAAAACTGCTTATGAGTAAGCACTGCAATAACTCAGGTCTTTGACAGAAGTCATTGCAAAAGAGTATCGGTGCTGCTTTTGCAACCCCTCTGAAAACTTAGCCCTGCTGCCTAATTGCTGTGCTATTTAATGCTTTCATGAATAGCAAGGGCACGCTTTGAAGAGGGGGAAGTAATTTTGTGGATGTATACATGTACTTGGAGGTCAATATTGGCCTGAAGTCTTAGAGCAAAGCACTAAACTGCTTCCTTCGTGCACAGGCATGTCCCATAACTGCTACAGTCTTGCTTTCACAGTCATTGAACAGCTACTCTGTCCAGGTGCTCCTGTTTTCTAGATGTAAGAAGCCAGCCCCAGCCCCCTGGCACTGCCTATCCCTGTTACACTCACAGGCATTAGGGACCCACTATAATATCACAAATAGCCATGTGTTGGGGAGGCAGAAGCCAGAGTTGGAACAAAATCGTCAGCTCCATCAATTGGAAGTTGCTGATCATTTAAGTGCATACTGAAGCATGCTGCTGTTCTCGGAAGAATCCCTAGCAAAATATTTGACTTCGCAAACGTTGGAGCTACTTTTTAAGAGCCCTCTGCCACCCAGCCAAGCAATCACTGCCTCTGTCACATGCAGGTGTTCTGCAGGAGGGAGGCCACTGCCCACCATCAGGCTACAGCACCAACAGGGTAACGTAGCTCCGGGGCTAAACGACACAGACAAACTGGCATGCTCAAACCCACCACCAGATTGTTGCATACGCAAGTAGCTGCATTGCCGTGCAGGTGGGTCTCACCAAGCGTGTTCCCTGCAACTGAAGGGACAATACAGTGCCACCCCCTGGCTCCCTTGCCTTGCCAAGAGCAGTTTGTGGCCTAGGATGGGATGAATATGCATCTTCAGTATAGACTTTTTCTCATTATGTACTAGGTTATGTTATATTAACATTACATACATATATTCCATAAAATTAGAACATTAACTTGAGACATCAAGTAAAAAGCCACAAATCCCACATCAACCTTTCCCAGGACGGTGTCCCTAACACCGCAAAGTGCCTTCAATGCCACTCCAAACTGCTGGCATAAGCAATCAGTGGGGGACACACACATGTTGACTAATGCGTAGCCATGGTCTGACAGTACAAGGTTACTTGCATTCCTAGTTTCTTCACTGAAACCACTCACAATTGGCCCAGTGTATTTTATACACCAGTTAATAAACCCAGTTTTTCCTTCTAGCTTTTGTAGCGGCTACTATACATCCTGTACTGCAGAGGAGAAGGAATAAGACACAGAAAGGGTACTAGCTACCAGAAATCTCAAATATTCCAAATCAGTCGCAGGAGAGCACCAAATTCTAAGATGCAACTCTAACCACCTTTGAAATGCCAGGAGCACAACTAACCTCGGCACACGGCAGTCGGGACTCCTGCACCCCTTAACATCGGCGTTGACAAGTTACCTTAAGTTCAAGCAAGGGTGTGAAAGCAGAACCAGTGAGCTTTAAGGGGCTGGCAGAAGTCCATCGCTTCCACAGCAAAAGAAAGACAAATCCAATGACACATAGAAAGGATAAATTTTCCCCAGTGTTTTCAAACAAAGAATGAAAAAACAAACACATTGTTTCCCAGCAAACAAAACTCTAATGGCGGGTTGCATAACGAGGGATGGTTATGTAAGCTTTAGTTTGGTTTCTGGAAAAATAATAGAGGAAGTAATCAGTAAAAGCTGTTTAAAGTCCGAGACAAATGGTCCATGGCAGTGGCAGAGTAAGCAAGCAAGAACGCAGCTGTAAAGCCACTGCTGACATTTGTCTGGGGCAAAACCAATTCATCTAGCTGACCATTGCACAGCGCTAAGCTCACACCCTCCTCCATTTCTCAACCTCTTTACACAACGGAGAAACCCCAGTGGTGTAGGGCCAGTGAAAGCACCCCAAGTGCAAACAGGAGCACATGCTCCCTGTCTCTGGGAGGAGGCATCGGGAGGGTGCTCTCCCTACCTCGGCCAGGACTAGGTGCCAGGCTGCCGTGTCTCCCACCCCGGTCCACGGCACAGTCCCACCGGGCAGAGACTGCTAATTAGAAGAGCTGCCAATGTTCACGAAGCTTTTTGGGGTCTCGGTTTTCCACCAAGCCCCTCGCTGTGTGCTGTAGGTGGTTGGGTATAACCCATGGGTTCAGCCCAGAAGGAAGAAACTGGCATCCCGAGCTCATGACCTTCTTTTCTTTAGGGAACTGGACTAAAAATAACCCATCAGGCTGGGGTCAGCTTCTCCTGCAGGCAGGACTTTGCCGCAGGAGAGGGAGGATGGGAGAATGCTGCCATGGCTGCCGGACTGTGCGCTCCCACTGCCCCGAGCCACGTTCATTCCCCCTATGCAGCCCCAGCCACCCCTTTCTGAAACACACTCCCATGGGGAAAAAAATGCCCTGAAAAACCATTCCGAGCCCCCATTCTCACTGCTGCTGCTTTCAGCCATTAAACCCATGCTGTTTCCTAGCCAGCAATAGTAGTAGTAATAATAATAATAATAATAATATTAGTAATAATAATATTAGTAATAATAATGTTTGGAGCATTATTAACACCACCAGATTCACAGCTCTTACATCCCTGGTGCCTTGCACCCATTTATTTCAGGGCACATCTCGCACTGCAGCCCCTCAGCCCCTGCTTGGTCTCCCAGCTCTCACATTTGCTTGGGTTTCTCTCCCAGCATGGAGAGGACCACACAGCCCTCTTCTGCTCTCCTCACCAGGGATTTAAGAGCCCCACAAACTCCCCAATATCTGCAGCTCAGGGAAGGGGCTTCTGCATGGTGAGGGGTATTTTAGAGCCCGCGCTGGTGGCTCACCCCATGCATTTCCCTTGGGGTGGGTTCAGCCCCCAAAAGACCTTTCCTCTCCCACTCCTGAAAAGAAAACCCATGCTTTAACTCCCCTTAAAAATCCAGGTGGACCTTTTGCTCCCCACAGGAACCACCACCTCTCACAGGCTCCAGGCAGGCGCACACATCAGGTCTCCACCTGAGCACCGGTGGCAAAACCAAATGCCTGCAGCCCAGCTCCAAATGTCCTGCTTTTCTTGTGTTCAGATGGGCCACCTGGTTACATGTCAGCCAAGAACTATGCCTTGAACTGACACTTGCTTTTAGGTAACATTTGTAACATTAGCTAATATATTTACCCCCTTGGGGTAATATGTAAAAATATATAAACATATTTACCCCCTTGGGGGTAAATATCTTTTCACTCCTTGCTGCTCCTACACCCTCCTCCCTGCTGGCTCCCACCCCCCAGCAGGGCTGTGGCAGGGCATGGAGCTCTAGAGAGGGCAAGGGCTTGTCTCCCTTACCACCGGGGAACCTGGGGTTTCATAGCCCAGATACCAGGCGGCTCTTCAACTCACACATTTGGCTTACACCCGGGTGTAACTCCTTTGCAACTACTCCACTTTAGCTCTCAGGGGAGCAGAAGCCAAAGGAGTCTCTCCTCTGAGATGTTGCCCTTTGCATGTCTCCACCTTGGAATCCCGTAGGGAAAAGCATCCTGGTCCCATCCTTTCCCCTGCAGCTTGTTTGCCGTAGGGCCAGTGAGCCCTCGTTTGCAAGTCCTAAAAAACCTGAGCGCTTGGGCTGGCTGTGGGGATGCTCAGCCACATCTCTCTGCAGCTGCCTCCTCTTTCAGAAGCTGGCTGAGCAAATGCCATAGTGGGGTGGCCTTGGCCCCAGCATAGTTGCCCCGAGGTGGCACCAGAGGCTGCTGATCAAACCCGGGTTTCCCACGCATCAACTCAAACCCCAGAGCTTTGGATACGCAACAGGGGGGACTTCTTTAGCTCAAACCTTAAAAAGAAAGAGAGGGTTTGATGCTTGCACGAGCCCTCATGTCTACGCTGGGTGTAGGGATGGGGCGTCAGGAGGCAGCAGCCAGGTTTGCAAGAGCTTTAATTGCCCTGAGAACTGCTCAGTGCTGAGCTGGGCTGGGCTTTGTAACCCCCTTTCCAAAGGGAACCCAGCGCACATGATGGTTGGTGCTCTGCCCGCAAGTTGTTCGGCTCCGCTCCTCCCCCTGCACCACTTCAGCAGCCTCCCGTCACACCCTATAGATTCTCTTCTACTGATTTTCAACCAACATAACATAAATCCTGACAAGCCTTGCAAAAGCAAACAGCTGGCCAGCATGTCCCTGCTAGGCTGTGCTGTGGGAGAGGCAGCAGTCTCCACTCAACCCTTATATTAGACACTAGAGACTCCAATGCCCAGCCACGCTCCTGCCACCCTGGCCCCCAAGCCCGAGCAGCAGAGCTAAGGGCCTCCCACTGCACATGGTGGCCCTGCTGGGAGCTGCCACCCACCCTGGGCCACCAGGTCTGCAGCTGGGACAAGAAAGGGGTCATGCAGCACGGAACCGGTGAGGACATGGGGTGGGATGGGGCAG